TATTATAGAGACTACCAGCGGGGTCAAGGCTACAGATGGGCCTCAATTTTCGCAAAAATGTGTGAAGTTAAATCAAGTCGTTACATAAATATGTAATTGTATGTAAATTTTATAGTAAACTTGCACTTATTCAAAAAGTCATCTTTTGTTTATGTCCTTTTTAGTAGTTTAGCAGTAAATATAAAATTCATTTACTTTTATTCGTCGACTATTTAAAATTGGCAGTGGCAGCATTGTCATGTGAATGTCCGGCTCTAAGATTGTGATATACACAAATGCAGTGTCATATCCTAGTCTCATAATTTGATATACCTACATAATTCACAGAAACCCAATATGTAGATGCCAGAAGTTAACTTCAAATGTTGTTAATCACCCTATATACAATACCAATCAATGACGTTTATGTCGTATTTGCAAATAGTGCAATCATGGCAATTACTTTCCAAATTTTGTTTTGGATAATAAAAATACCGGATAACGTACCGCTGTTAAGCACAAATACTAAGTAACTTTTACAAATATAATCAAATAAACCTATTACTAACTTTATTTTCAAATCTTTTTCATCAATTAAATACTATTATCCTAACTATCTATACTACTATTATAAAGAGGCAAGTTTTGTATGTTTGTAACAAATAATCTGTCAAACTAATATTAATTCATCATAAGCTAGTTACATTATTTATTATTACATTTTTCTTAACTTAAATACATTTTGTCCGAGTGACATAGGCTATAAGTATTTTATCCCGATAAAATAAATTCCGCCCGTACAATGCCCGGGTGGATCACTAGTAAGTATAAGTAATATAATATTATAGATGCGAAAGTGAGTTTGTTTGTTGCACTTCCGTGCCCTAATAGCTAAATCGATTATAACGAATTCCCCTATAGAAGTAGATGGGAACTTCGTTGTTAGCTACAACATCGCAATATAGGCGTAGGGTGATGAAAGGGGTGATTTACCTATAAAAATCTATATTATTTACTTTGAATTTTGCAGAATTATCGTTTATAATTACAAAACCAATATTATCGCGAGCTGATTAATAAATACTGGGATTCCAATAAGTATGTACCTACTAGCGAAAAATGGGTTATTTGTCATTGTATTAAGAAAACCTTTTTTGTAACATTAAGTAATATCGTTAAAAAAATTAAAAACAGTATAATTCTGAGTTTTTCATTAAAATTCATTAATCATAAATACCTATTAAGATAATTTATTTTTCATCATTTAATAAGAAGGAACTGTATCACAGTTTTATTGTAAGTACTTCATATAGGATCAGATACTGCGAGTAGCCCATTTTTTTCTTTCTCGCCTAGGTTTTATCCACGTTTATAAACACCTTTATTAAATTTTATTCCTGCAGTCTACTCCTAGATAGTACACTGCGCTATCACTTTGTCATCGTTGTAACTTTTTAACGTCAAAATGACATAGTGTATAAGGCAAAGTTTATCGTCTTTAAACATCTAAAGCTATAAAAGTATTTGCCTTGATAAAAAATAATGTGTTATTACAAAATGTACATTTTGGAAATAGATATCAAATAATATTTTAGTTTTGATTCACTATTTTAGCGGTAATGGCTTACACATTTAAAATAGATATATGGTGTCACGGACTTTTTTTAGAACTATTTAAGAGATACATTTTCACTCTACATTACATTCATGTAACTTTTATTGTTTTTGCAGTGCAGGACAAAATGGCTCGCAAATGGGAGATTTTTATATTTTGGCCAATTCACTCGATAACTACATAAATTATTACATATATGCTATTATCATATATGAGCTATATTACTGTTAAGTTTCATTAAAATCCATTCAGTATTTTTTAGGTGAAAGAGTAACAAAGATCCGTACAAACGTAAGATTGAAATTAAAAGCGCATGTGGTTAATATACAACTTTAAAGCGTTATAGATCCTAAACAATCATATAAAATGAAAAATGTTGTTAGGAACCTAAACATGATTTTCGATTATCTAGACAATGATACCTCACTCGACATATTTTGTCAACTTATTTTTTTTACTTCGTCACAATATGGCGCCAAATTTTGCCCATATTGAATTTTGATAATTATCATATCTTTAGTAGCACTCCCATGATTGAGACGAATCGATTGATGTATGAATCATCAAAATCGGTCCAGGCGTTTGGTCTCTAGTGTGCCACAAAGGAACAAACATACATATATAGACTGTTTAACACTATACCCTGTCTGCGCGTCGCGGTTCGCGCTCTTGCATTGCGCAGTCGGGTAAAAATTCCACGCGGACCAGGCAGCAGACGTGACTCGAACCCGCACCCTTGTCTATCCGAGCGAATGCACTGACTAATTATGTATGCTACCGCGGCCCTGACGGCCGCGTCGAAATTCTTCTAGCCATTCTTAAGTAGCAAGGCAGCGCTATCTCCTCGCATTGTAGGTAACCCATAATTTCAAATGAATACTTTTACATGTATTAAACATTTTGAAAGAAGAAATAGCAGTTATAGTTATAATTTTTTAAGCATGTAACTGCTTGGTCAGTGCATTCGCCCGGATAGCAAAGGGTGCGGGTACGAGTCCCGTCTGCTGCCTGGTCAGCGTGGAATTTTTCCTAGTTATATTTTCTTTAGATTTAAAGATCAAGCAGTTAAATGCTTAGAAAATAAAAATTATATCTACATTATATATATCAACAAAGATGACTATTTTTTTGGATATAGGAATAGGAAATATATAGGATATAAGAAAGACCGCATCCCATCCCAATCTGCTGACTTATAATGCCACATACCGCGACATCTAGCAAATTGCGGCTGCGGTGAAAAGGTGAGTAGCACTATACTCCGGATTAGACAATAGTCTGAGGAGTCAAGAACACCCCCTACGGACACTTCGTAATTATCCGGCTGTGAGGACAGTAGAAGGTCCAACAGTAAAGGTGTGTGGTCTTTGACATCTGGGATTCATGTAGGCGAAGTAACCAATTGTGTCAGACTATATGCCAAGGGGGAATTGTGAGCAGCGTGATCGGTAGTGCAAGCTATTTGGAGTGGTGGATATTGAAACCACCAAGGATTTCCGAAGATGGGATCTGCTGAAGCACGGAGCCAGTAGCCACTTGGACGTGATCAAAAAATGTCGGTCGATTTCGGCTTTTCCGCTATTGGACCTGTGTAGGCAGGCGTAGACGCGGGGGTGGCCATCGACGTCTTCACGCAACCAAAGGATGGAGAAGATATACTCAATACTTATGTTTTATAGTTTTATTCTTTTCATATAACTCCAAAAGGTATTGTTTACTTAGGAAAGTAAGCATAAATTTCGAGAAGGCATACATAAATATAATGCCTTTACCATCTTCTTACTACGTCCGGGCGACTACAAAAGCTTCTTATGTTATTAAGTTCAGCTTTTCATATTGATAGCAAGTGAAGTTTAAGCCTTTACCGACAATATTTTATTTCTATCAGATCATGACATACACGCATAGCACACTCTGATTTGTTTCTCGTTAGTTTGTTATATTGTACTAGCGGCCGCCCGCGTCCGCGTTAACCTGACACTTTCCCAGGAAAACAAAAGCCGGGCAATAAACTATATGTGTCCCAAATTTCATCCAAATGCGTTCAGTACTTTTTGAGTGATTGAGTAACAAACATAAATTCTTTTAACTTTATAGTACAGTAGGACAATATTATTTGGATTGAACTATTACCTAAACAAATTATGGAATTATCACTATTAATTTATTGCATTAGGTCCTTCTTCGTTCTCAGTGAATATTCTCAGAAAAAACTCACTGTTAAGTTTTTTTCTGGATGCCGATCCTTAAAATAATAACAGTTAGTATGATAAAAGCATATAAATTAGCCTTTCAAAATCTGCTAATTACTTATTGTTTTAGAATTAACATTTACACGTAGTGCATTATGATTAATTTTTTATACTACTTACCTATTACTTAATTTAATGCAGTAAAAATCATAATAAGCACAATAATTTTCAACATAATAAGTATCCACAAAAAAAGAACAATGCTCTGCACAATTTGGATTTCTTAAAGAAAATACCAACTGAAAACTAATTTAACTGAAACAGTAAATTGCAGATGTCCTGCTGATGATAGATAAGGCCTCGCCAAGACCACTACGGCCGCAGCGGGCTTAGCGCGCCGCTAACTGCCTACGCCAGATATCCCTTTTGTTTAAACATATCTCCCGGGGCCCGGTGCGGCGATACTCTTAAATTAAAAGTGTCACAACGAAAACAAAACAAGTTGCGATAAAATTATGTCACCGGTCTATTATTGTTTTCGAGTAATCCCGCACTGATTTAAAGCTAAAGTAAATAAACAAATCCAATACCATAAACACGTTTACTTCCTATTTAGCGGGTTCTTGTTTTAGCATCAAACGATTCCGTATAGACGAAAATAAACTCAGCTCTACTTTTATTGACTCAAGTTAATATTTTGGTTTATTAACGAACCGGGTACGGCCCACGGCGCGGCATATAATATCCCAAACGACCCAACCATCTTCGTTTTTGAATTTCATGCTTTTTACATCAATCTACTATTGGTGAAACATATATATATATATATATATATATATATATCTAGAGTTTATTCCATGAGCTACAAAATAGCTTAGGTTTGTGTCTAACTCGGGTTCATTTATTACCTACTTGTTTACTATACATACTCGTAATACATATTTATTATAAATCTATACCTGCGGTTTTAAATTAACAGTTTTTGTAGCAATAATAAAAAATAAAGAGACAACATGACTCATCAATGTATAAATAGTTTTCTGTTCATAAAATCAAACTAGTTTTCTGTTCATAAAATCTTATTTGTTGAAAACCGTCGCAAGCAAAAAAAAATATGATGTTATAACCAAACAAGTATTCGAGGTCAACGTTGTTGTAAACTATCAAAAACTATCATAATCCTACACCTCTCAGTGTTACGATTGTGTTGCAAAATGAAGACGTATTTTATGTTATTAATTGTTCTAATACTAATCAGCTTCGTAAAGCCTTCAGATTTCAGTGACGACTATAACCATAGAAAACGGTCATCATTTTATCCCGACAATTACTATTTTCCATATCATACTTTACGCAATCGTGAATATCAAGATAGTGTAAATTATGACCGCTCTTATCCTCCAATACCGAAAAGAACTACAGAAAAAGAAGAAGATTATGGTGTAAAATCATATTCATCAGATTATTATGGTATTCATGACAACAACGACGGGTTTAAGGACCCATATCCTCCAATACCGAAAAGACCTACAGAAGAAAATGAAGATTATCGTGTAAAATCATATTCATCAGATTATTATGGTAGTGATGACAACAACGATGGGGTTAAGGTATATCCTACGATACCGAAAATTACAAAAGAAGAATATAGTGTAAAATCACATTCATCGGAAGATTATTCTAGTAATTATAGCAACGATGAGGTTAAGAAACAAGGAAAACCAATTTACAACATTGAAGATGCACCGGAGTTGTTCAAGAAATTCATAAAAGACTACAATAAACAGTATAAAGATGACGAAGACTACAAAAAACATTATGATAATTTTGTGAACAGTTTGAAGGAGATCAATACGACCAATTCATCAAATGCGACTTACACGGCTGATATAAATATGTTGTCTGATGCTGGTAGTGAACTTTGGGCTATTTTAAGTGGTATTGAAAAATAAAAGCTTGAAACGTGCTTATTGAATATTTTATTACATTATTACGATTGACATGAAAATTAGGAAAAATCTGAAGTTAAAAATATAAACATCTTATTGCTGGGTAACAAAGTTTTACTTGTAACTTATCTTAAATTATCATTAGAGGTTTCATAACATACCGCAGGCTGGAAAAAACCCGAAAGTTCAATTTGATTATCTGGCTGGTAGTCTCACCACCCTGCCTGATCTGGTCATTCGTTCGTAGTCAGTGATCAAGTCAATCATACTGCAAATGTCATCTGGTTCAGATTGTTCTAAAGGAAATAATCTCTTAACGGTATAAACCTTGACTCCAGACACCGGGCGTAATTGGCTAGCTGGTTTTAGTCGTTAAACTGGTCTCCTTTATGATAATAAAAACCCACTAACTTACTTTTTAGTGGTTTTGTTGTTATGAAGTCGGTTTTTATTTTTTGTTAAAAAAAGTTATTTATGACTTTTAATCCAATAATATTCACAAATTACAAGAAAACTTTACTAGTTAGTATCTGAATCTACTAAGCTGGTATCGAACTAAAAATACTTACCAAAAAAACTAAAAGTTCTTTAGTCACAGTTGAAAATTGCTTTGAAAGTAAATAGAACCTACCAAAAGAGGTGAATCGAATGCTTTCTTGCCAATACGAAAGCTTAAGAGTTTTCAGTTTCTTCAAGAAAATATATTTGGCATGTTTGTGAACATAAAATGTTCTGTACACATGTTACGACACAATGTGAATGGTTATGTTTGTCTGCAACACCGCAGACATTATTGCCTTTGCATAGAGCTGGTAATAGCATGCATATTGTGACATTTATGCTTATAAACGAATTCGCACAACCTTAACTAATACACCATAGAGAACAGATTGGAACGAACATTACATCTGGTACACAAGATAACATAAAGTTCCTTTGGCGAACAACTTACGACTGGAACGCGGCATTGGCAATAGAAAGTGTATATCGACAGTGGAAAGACAAAGTCGCTTATACGCCACTATCAGATTTTTTTCAGTGTCGATCTGTTTGTTTCGTGAAGATTTGAATACTTTAAGGGCGCTCAAGCAACTCAATTTTTTGAAGATTTTTATTGTTCACAACGCTGAAGCGACATAAATTTTGGTGTTTTTGAACCAATGGCGCTTACGCCCTCCTATTTGGCGTATGATTTGATGTTTGCTTGACAAAAAATGTGCAGACCGAGTGATTTTCCCTTAAGCGACATCTAATTCGTAAAGACACCATTTAACTTGTTAATAGGAGGATATTAAGAAAATATTATTAATATGTTTTTATTTTTATGGCGCTACTTCTCATTTACGACGAGTTATGATATTTTTAGTGTAAAAATAAATGATTTTCGTATCTGTAAAGTTACTAAAGTGGTGTTTAAGTGATTTTGCTTTTCCACTGTCGATATATCATTTTCTGTTTTATACAAATGTCTATTTTATGGGGAATCGTAATTGAAATAGTTGGGTTGAGCTAAATATCTACGACTCAATGTTTTAATAACGTTAAATTATTTAAATGGAAATAGAAACTGAATGATGACATCGTAAACTTACCCCATGATACATTTGTTTGATATTATCAGAAAATAACAAGTTGTGATCATTTGTCTCTTCTTTTGCGGACGGGTGACATTTCGTTATGCAACGCAAATTCATTTAATCAGGGTTGCCTATAACAAGCATACTCGTATATTAATGACATAGACATAGCGTAGCGAGATTCTTCGTCCAAGATATATTACACAGAGCAACACCCCACGACGGCCGCATTGCTCTGTGACATATTATAAACCATAGAATGTTTTGAACATCGAAAGCTACGCCATCGGTTCGCAATACAAATCTACAGTGAGAGACCTTGCAAGAAACTCGGCAAGATTAATGATATGCAGTAAGGGTTACCTTTTCTCCCTGTTTTATTTGACACAACGTCGTATTGAAAGATTACATCAAACGTAAAATCATGAAAGAAGGTCAACGTCTATTACATATTGTGAAATAAAAATAATTGTACAAAAGGTCCGATATATCAAGTAGATGTTTGTTTGGCGTATTAATACGGAAATATACTTAACAATGTAAGTGTCGTAGCGCATCTTCTACTCAATGTTTGTAACCGACTAAAAAGGAAGGTCCTGAGTTGGAATATCAGTAGTGACATTTATTTGTGAGCAAAAAGAACGAATAGTTCTTGAGTTTTAGCAGCTGTCCTTACACTTATACAATATGAATGATTGATCTCGCTTCGCGGAATCATTCATCTATGATGTAGCTATTATAAAATTCATTTAGACGATCTCGGTGGCCGAGTCGTTTGTACGCCGGGTTTCAAGGTGTCGCCTATTCGAGAGATCCCGGGTTCGAAACCCGTTGGGGGCAGTTGTTTGTGTGATGAATGCAAGCATTTGTACTCCAATCATGGATCTTATAATATGTATGTGTTTTTCTATATAAATGTACTTATGTATGTATCAGTATTATGTATTCTATCCGTTAGCCTCGTATCCCATAACACAAGTGCTTACTTTGAGGCTAGGCTAATTGGTGTGCAATTTGGAAACATTTATTTATTTAGTCATAAACGTGTAGCAGTATAATAGGTAATTCAATATAAATATAATAATTTCTAATACTAATTCCTGTAAAAGTCGGTAATTTTATAGGAAATTATTGTCAAAGGAGAAACAAACAGACTATTTAATATCAAAAATTATACGAATTGAGAAAATAAGCAGCTGTTCTTGCTGCCTTCTTTGGCTGCCATTACAATGGAATCGCGCCAGTGGAATTTTTTATTTACTTTAATAAATACAGGGAAACAATGAAACAGGAGCAATAAATTGAATAAATATTCATTATTGGCCCAATATCGGTCGTCTGTGGTGGAATAAAAATAACACTGATGTAATTCCGCAAATAAAACTCAAAAGGGCTGTCAGATTGAAATTAGACAAATTTCGAGGACTTGACTGAAATTCTGTTTTAGGTATTCTTCTCATTGTCATATATTTCTAGTTTAGAAATTGATTCCTCTCATCTAAAGTTTCAGAATATAATCCTTAAAAGAATAAAATTTATTGCCGTTCCAGCCAACATGCAACAATCATTTATCCTTAGATAAATTTGACTTACTTAGGTCCATTTGCAGCAAATTATCTAAATCTCCATTTAACTTAAACTAGGTTTATCCTATATAATGATGTCAAAGTGAAGTTTTGTAATTTTTCTATGGGTTAAGTATAATTTTAGTTGAATCAAGATAAATTTGAGGCAAATTTGCTGCAAGTGGGCATGTCCTTTTATATGGAAAAGTTTCCAGAACTACTTAAAATAACTATTTTTGTGATGACAATAGTAGTCTCTTTATAAAAACATAAATAGCGAAGAAAAAATTACTTATTGTCTAATTGCCATCTTGCTGGTATTTTCTAAAATATTTGAAAAAAAAATGTTCGGTTTAAACTACACAAATCAAATAAATCTAAGCAATATGCATCATTTACGCAAACTACAAGTTTTATATTATCGTTATGTTTCATTTGTTCAAAGGTTATTTTTTTGCTTTAGCCAATAATAAACAAAATTGTTTATTATTATTGTATAAAATTGTTTATTATTACAAAAGAATAAATAAGTATTAAAGTTCGTTGTTGTTGTCTTATTGCTTACATATTTTTTTTTATATTATACGGACATACGAGCTGACGACTCACCTGCTGGTAAGTGATCACCTTCGCCTATAGACACCTGCAACACCAGGAATATCACAAATGCGATGCCGGCCTTTAAGGATGGAGTACGCTCTTTTTTTGATGGTTTTCAGGTCGTATTGGTTCGGAAACACTGCTGGTGACAATGTATTCCACAGTTTTGTCGTGCGTGGTAAAAAAGATGACAAAATGGCAAAGTTGTGTATAGCCAATAATAGCCAGCCATGCATCAAAATAGTGGGGATGAAATTTTTGTCGCAATGTACGACAGCGAAAAGCTGCAGCTGGTATTCATTCAAACAATTCCTCAGAACACTCCCAGTGATAAATGCGATGGAACATGCAGAGTGAAGCTACATCTCTACGCAACGCCAAATGATCAAGCTTATCGGAAAGGTTCTGGTCGTCGACATTTCGAGCTGCTCGGTGCTATTGCTATAAGTATGTTTGAATGATAATCTATATATATAAAACTCAAAGGTGACATAGTGATCTATCAACGCACAGCCCAAACCACTGGACGGATCGGGCTGAAATTTGGAATGCAGGTAGATGTTATGACGTAGGCATCCGCTAAGAAAGGATTTTGATCAATTCTACCCCCAATGGGATAAAATAGGGAATGAAAGTTTGTATGAAACTTTGTCAATTTTAAACCGATCGAGCTGAGACTTTGCATGCCGGTATAAGAAGAATCATAGATGCATGTCATTGTGTGTAATACAAGCCTGAAAACAAAAACTGTAGTCTACACTTCAGCTCTACACCGAAGAAAGCGAGATCGGGCCGCTAGTTATTTATATGTTGCTTTTTGTACTAAGTTTGATTCAATATATAGAGATCAATACGGTTTCCAAAGGAATAAATCCACACTCTGGCAATATAATATTGTCACGCGATATACGTATTATGTATGTGTGAAAAACTTCAACTCAATCAGAAACCGGGAAGAGTGTCAATTTAACTTGCAAGATTCCATTACACACAACCGACAAGTTTACTGAAACTACATAAAAGCTTGTAGAAAACATTGCAGTTCAAATAAGTCTTGTTTATTTTTTTATAGTGAGGCAAATGACTCTTCCGCACATGATGTTAAGTGGTGGTAACAATGACCTTCGGTAGTAAAGTCAAGTAGACCCGTAATTGATATCGCCGATATTTAATAAGAGTATCGGTATGTATCCTATCGGCAAAAAGGCGTATCCCTAGTTTTTTGTAAATATAAGTTCATTTTGTATTCTTTTAGGGGCAT